TTGAATTGATCAATGTTTTGGTCATTTTACTTCTAGTACTCACATATTTGAAGTATGCAACAGCGATACGATCATTGCGTGAAAGCACACTCGGCTTAGATTGGCAAGCTTGGTACTATTACTGTATGAAAGCTTAAGGTAAAGTGCCAACTGCCTAGCTGAGTGATGCATTGGTATATCAAATTTACTCCCAGCTACGGAATAAGATTTAGGTACTTAGCAAGCAAGCCTGTCCTTTCAGCATCCCAATTCCATTCTGCCAAATGACCGCCCCCGGAGCATTCCAATGTTTACAAAAAACTTAATAAAGTGAATGGATTCAAACTTTGAAATGTGAAAAGACGGAATGAATAAGAGAAGGATTTCCCCCCGGTCGGTGTTGCCGGGCAACAAAAACTTTGTTGAAAAAAGTCCAGTCACTTTTGTCTATCCAATGAAGCATAGTTTCCCTGCAAGGTAACGTAAAAATAGTTCAATAAATTTGAATACAGGAAAATGTAATCTTTTGAAGATCAGACTTAGCAGGTAGAGATTGAACACCGTATTCTGAGGAACAGCGCGGTATTTCATAAGCGGTGTCTTTCCAGAGGTTGCGTAGATCGTTGTAAAAGTGAATATCACCGTATAACTCATTGCCTGGTTGTGAAGAAATGCCGCCACCCCTGAAAAACTGAACTTTGGTCATTTGTTGATAGTAGCAATGGTCTCTAGTACCTGAATACAAAAGTACACCTAGTGTTCAAACCCTGCATTAACAAATAGTTGAATAAGGGAAGTTTATTTTTGACAGAAAACGTGTTAATCGTTTAATGGCAGTGTAAAATTTTTGTCCATGATATGTGTAAGAAAAGAATACAGACTTTTCAGCTTCAATCCCGTTGGAAGGACTTGAAAGAAGGTAAGGGCGAGTGCCGTCCAGTTCAGAAACAATTGAGCCAATTGTTTCATTGAAAAGCAATAAATAATCAGCAGCCTTAAAGATCCAAATGGCAACTATTGGATAAGAAAAAAGACTTTCCATGGTTCTTGAAAAAATAAGTGTAAAAACATCCAAAAATTAAGTCAAAATTAATTTGGATGGAAGTGATTGTTACCACGTCTTCATGACTGTAACCCACAGGGCTATACCAGATCCCTGCAATGTCGGCTTCAATCTCATTATTTCCGGCCCAAACTAAAATTGAAGGGTGATGCCTCAGTCTCCAAACCTTTAATAACATTCAGAGTGGTAAGAAAAGAAGAAAAAAACAGTGGGGAACACAGTATTACTAAAGTTCCTTTGAACTTATTTTTCTTTAGCACAACCTCAATATTTTAAAAAAAAGCATTAATGTAAAAATTAAGATTAAAATCCCTTTAATATTTGGTTGATGTTTGTACTTGTTATATAAAAACGACAATTTCAGTCAGAATACACTAACCTGTTGAGATATTTCTGTACGGACACTCTCTAAAAACGCTGGATCCGTAGGATACAGGGAACAAGCGAATGTAAAGTCATGCCATAACAAAATCCCCTTCAAAGAAATTTTCTAGGGGAAACAAGGACAAAAGTTGAAATATAAAACACAAAGAACCTTCTCATCAGCAAGTGAGTAGAATTCGTCAGTTCCATAATCACCACCTCCCCAAATACGTAGAGCATTCATATTAGCTTCAACCATTGAATCAAACATAAAGTGGAGCCTTTCAGTGTGATTATTTGAGGGGAAAGCCGATACCGGAATCCAGTTTGATCCTAAAGAAGCAATAACGGCGCTGAACATCTTCAAGTTTTGTAATAGTCAAAGGACCATAAATTCTGTCATAGCTCTCACCCTTGAGGAATACTGGCACATCGTTGATGATAAAGTAAAAATTTCTGCCCTTATCTGGTTTCAAATTATCAACGTAATTCTGATTCAATTTTACGGTTCTGAATCCAACTTTTAACGAAGGTGCCGTCAGTTCATCATCTAAATAGCATCTCTTGTTAGAAGGAAGAAACTTGTTCTTATTACAAACGATAGTTCGATATTACTTTTTCTTAGAAAAAAAATATTTTCTTATTGGTTAGTAATTCTTATAAAGAAACACATGAAACTTTTTCTCTGTAAAGGTACGCATGTCATTTTAAAGTTTTTAATTTTCAAATACACTTGAAGATGAATTTACAAATCATTTTCTGAAAGCAACTGGAAGACATCCAAATGTTTCAATTACTAATGTTTTGAATAATTTTTTTTTGCGATTTTCCATCGTAGCGCTTTCTGGCAGCTTAGTTCTTTACTAAGATCTTTTGAATGCAATGGTCTCCCTCAAGTTTTGCTTTACAACCAGTAGACTGTTTCAAAAAAAAAATCCCTATTGCTTTGTCAAAACTTTCCAGTGATTTTAATTTCTGGACTTTTCAAAAAACCTGCCAGTTTTCCACTATAGAAAATCTACAACTTTTTCAAATGCCAGCAGAAAAGACTTGTAAACTCAAATAAGCCTACTATCCAAAAAAGGTTAAACCCTAAATTTCTCATCCTTTTTCTTTAGAAACATAATAATTTCGGCGTGTAACATTTGTAATTTTTAAGAAGTCCTAGTAGAACAGTGTGACAAAGAGGGGTTTTTAAGAGAACAGATGACGGTTAGACTGTTTGAATAACTTTCATCTTCTATACAAGTGAGTAGAAAATAGCAATAAACTTGAATTCAATCTGTTTACCATTAATTTTCAATTTTACATCCACTCTATACAAATTCTGTTTGCCATATCCATTCGGCCACCATAGTTCAACGGTTTCTACCGCGAACCGAAATGTGGATGTCAGAGTCTGTAACTTCATTGGTGTAAGTTTAACTTCTGTTCTTTCATCAACTTCTAACGCGGGCACCGTAACTGAGAAGTTGCCAACCCCTTGGAAAGCGCTAAACACTGACGCTTCAACCGTCAAGTAAAACTCGTCTAAAATAACAATTATACGAAAATAACCAGGAACATATAGCAATAAAATTGAACGGAATTTGAATTTATAAAAAACTAGAAGTATAACGTTTTGTATAAACTTTTTGTGAACAGTTTTTTCATAAAGTATCAAGTACTTGATTGAAAAACAATTTTTCTTCTTTAAGACAACTGCAATTTGTGGTTTAATGTAATAGAGATATAATAGTTAGTCTCCTCTCAAAATCTTTGTTCGTTTTATTACTTCCGGTAATGCATTTTGTTTGATCAAAGTTACTCTTTAACAGAACATTTACTGCTGCTGCTAAAGGTATAAAGAAATTAAAGCGCAACCATCAATTCTGTCAACCACTGCTGACACCTGGTTAATAAAAGCTGTGCTGAATCCTTCAATTGACAGGGACTTCCACACTCCAACAGTTGGGAATGCAGGTCCCCAATCCCATGAAAAACTAGCTTGTATTTTCCTAAACAATAAATTTTTTTGCTGTATCAATGGCTAACAAAATTCAGAGATATCAAGAGGCTCCCAGCAGAACGATAATTCCTTTGCTGCACAATTAAAAAATTGCTTATTTTGCAAAAGTACCAAAGAAGAACTTGAAAACAATTGCAATTCCAGTAAAATACCCTGGTTTTTTCTCGCTATCACGAATGAATTAAGACCTAACTTGTACAGTATAGCCATATAATGTTATTTGTCTTCTAAGAAGCTCGATGTTAGTTATTAGCAAACAAATGCAAATTAAAGAAAAGAATATAGGAGAAAGATACTGCTCCTTACCTGATAAAATTAACATGGCATTCACCTCTGAAGCTAGCCGGTGGACAAATTTGAGGAAGTTCATGCTGATAAATTCTCTAAATGTAAGTCTCAAATGTGTAAGTTTTAAATGATATAGACCTCTGATTCATGACCATTTGCATTTTCTTGTAAGGTATTTGTATAAATTCAGATTTTAAAAAAGTTGACAAGCTAATAAAGAACCGAATTTTCTGTGAAATTTCAGTTTCATAGCAAGAAGAAAGAAATGCTGAAAAGAAGTTTCATGAAAGCAAAAAATAAGGCTTGGTCAAATACACTATATATCATCACTAAAAAGACTAAATTGCGCGCACCAGTATAGAAGAGTTGCAGAAAAAAATTTGACACGTTTGAAAGTGTAAATCAACTTAAAAAGAGATTTGGCCTGTTTAAGGGTGAACAGAAATTGATAGCGTAATAGAAACCGATTAGATTAAGGTAAATAGTTCACTGAATTAGAAAAAAAATAACTAAAACTGACATTGGAAAACATACAGTGTACTTTTCAGACTGTTGTAATGCATAGTTGACTGGTGAAGTAAATTTGATAGTCAAATTATTAACACCAGGCTTCCAAACTTCCAACTCAATCAGATGTGAAACAAATTGATTTGAGGAATTCAATATCAAATTGCCATTCAACCAAAGTTTGGCCACAGTATCAAGACCCCCGGCCCTCAAAAGTACGGTAGTATACTGTAATAAATTACAATTAGGAATTCATAAAAAATAAACTTGAAAGAATTCAAAAACTGTGCAATGTTAATCGCAATGTGGCAAGAAAAAAGACAAAGTAAAAGAAAAAAGAAATAAAATAAACAAACGAAGCTTTCTGATAAACACATTTAAAAATTGAAAAA